CTGTCTGTCTGTCTGTCTGTCTGTTTCTTTCTCTCTCTCTCTCTCTCTCTCTCTATTTCTTCCTCTCTTTCTCTTTCTGTTGATCCCGCTCTCTCTACGCATATTACATATATATACATATATACATACATACATATACATGTGTACACATATATATACACGTATATATATACATATATATGTATATATGTGTGCTTATGTGTGTGTGTTAACCAGCGCGGACCCCAAACATTGTTTCTACCCATGGTATGTGGTGGGATGTATGTGGTGCCGCCAGCGTGGTGCAATATATGTGGTGTGGTCTACGTGAAACATTATATGTGTTGTGTAATACATGTTGTGCAATCTATGTGGTGCAATAGCCGTTGCTGATATCGCTGACCAATATACGTTGTGATTTTGGGGTGGTGCAACAGATGCCGTCCAGCGTGCCTATATAGTGCGATCAACGTGGTGCAATCTATGCGGTGCAACTCCCCGTCGAACTTGAAGTTGACAAGTCCACTGCCAGCGCAATCATCGCACCCACCCACCCGCAACTTGGCTTGCAAAACCCCTGCGGCGGCGAGTGCAATGAATGTTTGGTGTTGGCTGGTGCATATCTGCGGTCGCGTTAGCCCGCGCACGTTCGCGCGCGCAGCGGCCAGCTAGTTTGGCGCGACCGACGCGGCCGCGGTGGCGCTGACCGCTGGGCACGTCCCAGTCTTGTCTGAACCATATTACTGCGAAACCATGTGACCTTATGTCTTCAGGAAATTCGATTTTGAAATCCTCGCGAAACCGAAAGTTGTTGAAAGATTGCGGCATGCGCGCGAGACGACGCCAGCGTGTGCACTTCGTTCGAGCTGCTTCCAAAGGGAATATCGAAAACTGCTGATGTTGTATAAACTCCCTGCAAAGGATGAAGGGGGGGATACTGGCCTGCCTGGGATGGTACGCAGTCATATTTGGGAAGGACGATGGGGCACAATCGTATGTAAATTGCGATACGCAAAGGGATCCCGTTAATCCCCGGGGGGGGTCCTCATATTCTGTTAGAAAATTTACGCGCTGCAACACAAGTGATATGTGATGCCAGCTGCATTCTGGCATATATGTGATATAATGTATAGTATGCAATACATGTGGTGCAATACTTGTGGTGAAGTCTACGCGGCACAACATATGCTGTACAATATTTGTGGTGGAACCTCCGTTTCGAAATGTAGGTTGCGCTGTGTTGCGGTGCTATGCGTGGAGTGCACTACACGGGGCACATCCCATAGTGTGTATATATAAATGCCTGTAGATCTGTATATACATATATCTAGATGTGGTGCAACCGGTCTGGTGCAATCTACGTGGTGCAATATATGTAGTACAGTGGACTAGGTGCAATCAACGCGGCGCAGCCCACGTGGTGCAAAACCTATTCGGCATTATATACATGGTGCCATATACAATATGCAACATAACGTTCTGCAACCCATGTAGCACAATCTACGTGGTGCAATTCACGTTGACTGTCTTGAAGCTGTCCTCTCCACTGCTCGTGCACGCATCCCACCCTCCCACCCGCAACTTGGTCGCAAGATCTCTTAAGACCGTGACGGTCGGTACCAAATGGTACTTGGCAATGACAACAACGCCGACGACGACAGCGACAACGACGACGACGACAACGCCGACGACTACGGCGACACCGACGACTCCGACGACTTCAACGACGGCGACAACGACGACGACGACGACGACGACGACGACGACAGCGACGACGACGACGACGCCAACGCCGAGAACGACGACGACGACGCTAGCGACGACGACGACGACGACGACGCCGACGACGACAACGACGACGACGGCGACGACGACGACGACGAAAACGACGACGACGACGACGACGACGACGCCGACGTCGCCAACGAAGGCGACGACGACGACGAGGGAGGAGGAAGGACGACGACGGCGACAACGACGACAACGACGAGGGAGGAGGGAGCACGGCGACGACGCGAACGACAAAAAAGGAGGGAGGACGGCGACTCCGACGACGACAACGACGAGGGAGGAGGGAAGACGACGACGACGACGACGACGACGACGACGACGACGACGACGACGACGACGACGACGACGGCGACGAAATAGGAAGGACGACGACGAGACGCCGACGACAGACGACGACGACGACGAAGGAGGAGGAAGGACGACCACGGCGACAACGACAACGGAAACGACGACGACGCCAAAGAGGACGACGACGACGACGAAGAAAGACAGAGGACGACGACGGCGACGACGATGACGACAACGGAGGAGAAAGGACGGCGACGACGAAGACGACGCAAAACTGGCGCGCACGCTTTTGTTAAACACCCGTGTTGCGAATCCATGGTTTTTGTATGTATTTTGGACACTCGAATTTGAACCCCTTCCGAAACCCAAGGTTTTTGAAGGATTTCGGCATGCGCGCGCGACGGCGCGCGCGCGCACTTCGTCCCATTTGTTGCAGGAGATTATCGCGACGGCACGCGCGCAAGAGCGTTCGAAGGATTCCGACATGCGCGCGCGCGAAGCCCGTTTGGTAGCATTTTCTGAAAATCTTTAAAAACCTATGGTTGTTTCAAGAATGAGCAAGAGCGCGTGCTAGTGTTTTTTGGGAAAACACGCGTTGCGAAACCATTTGTTTTATATGTTGTTTGGACACTCGATGTTGATATCCTTCCGAAACCGAGAGATGGTTGACGCATTTCGGCATGCGCGCGCGACGACGCGCGCGTGTGCACTTCGTCCCAGATTTGGAAACTTATGGTTTGTTCCCTACCTAGGCTCTGTCTAGAAGGGTTATTACTGTGTTTGCTTAAAGGGGCCGGGCAGTGCTCCCCGCCCCGGGCGGTTCCCCCAGGATCCGCCCCGCGGTTCCCCCAGTGACGCTCCCTTAGCTTAGCGTTGCTTATCTCTTCCTAGCTTAATTCATTCCATTTTTTAGTTTAGCCTCATCTTAGCTCAGGTTTATCTTAGCTTAGCTCACCTTCATCTTAGCTTCGCCGAGCTTTAGCATAGCAAGGCACAGCATAGCATAGCATAGCACAGCACAGCGCCGCATAGCATTTTAGCATGGGTGTAATTCCCGACCTAGGCTCTGCCTAGAGGGTTAGCTTAGCTTCGCTTAGCTTAGCTTAGCATAGCGCAGCGCTGCATTAGCATAGCACAACATAGCAAAACATAGCAAACCATAGCATAGCAGAGCATAGCATAGCGCAGCATAGCATAGCATAGCATGGCAGATCATAGCATGGCATAGCCTAGCATAGCATAGCGCAGCTTAGCATAGCATAGCAGAGCACAGCATAGCTTAGCATGGCACAGCACAGCCTGACAGCATAGCATCGCAGAGCATAGCATATCATATCATAGCATAGCGCAGCCTAGCATGGCATATCATATCATAGCATAGCATAGCATAGCAACTAATGTTGCGTTCCTAGGGGCTCCAACTTCTAGGTAGGGTCGCACTGGGGTAAGTATAAACAAGTTTGCGCGCTTTGTCTGCTTTGCAGAGAATGGCGGGGGGAACCGATACCGATTTGGCTGGGACGGTATGAACTCACAGGTAGAATGGACATTGGGTCAGAGTCCCGTGTTTTGCGTCGGTCCCCTGGGGTCTTTCAGTCCGGGGGGGTTGTAGAACAGATTTTTGTAGGAAAGCAAATTAAGCTCTGTGCACAATGAATTGTCTACTCCATTGCTCGCCCAACCACCCCAACCACCCACCCGCAACTTGGTTTGCATAAGCCCATGTGGCGACGATAGCGATGAGCGCATTTTGTTGGATGGTGCATATTTGCGGCCGCGCTAGCCCGCGCATGCTCGCGCGCGCATTGGCCAGCTAGTTTGGCGCGACCGACGCGGCCGCGGTGGCGCTGACGGCTGGGCGCGTCCCAGCGGGCACGTCGGTGCAAGTCTGCGACTTGGGCGGGCGCGGTATCATGGCAACGTCGACAACGGTAGACGCGGTGATGGTGGTAGCGACGCTGGTGACGATGATGACCACGACGACGGCAAGGCCAGTGACGGCGCCGATGCTGATCAAGCCGAAGACGATGACGGCGTCCTCGCGTCGGCGATGAAGGTTTTGGACGGAGTTCGGCATGCGCGCGCCGCCAACGCGCGAGAGTGGCCCGCATGGTGTCTCAGTTCCACCCAGGTCGTGCCCCGCCAGCACGCGCGCAAGGACATTCGAATGATTTGCACGTGCGGCGCGAGAGGCCCGCTTGGCAGACTGTTGAATGAAAACGATGGAAAATGTCTGGTAGTCTTGAGAATTCACAAAAGCGCGAGCGCAGGACATCTTGCTGGCGCTGCGAACCAATATGCGTCATAGATGTTTCGGGACACGCAATTTTGAAATCCTTATGAAACCCAGGGTTCCTGAAGGAGTTCCGCATGCGCGCGCGCGACGACTTGCGCGTGCACTTCGTTAAGTTTGCTGCAAAGGATTACTGCGACAGCACGCGCGCAGGGGCGTTCGAACGACTTCGACATGCACGCGCGAGAGGCCCGTCTGGTAGCATGTGATGACAATATTGAAAAGCCAGAAAACCAATGATTGTCCTAAGACTTCACACAAATGCGGGCGCAATCTGTTTGTTTATTCATGTTGCGAAACCATGAGTGTCATATGCTCTCGGGACACTCGCTTTGAAACCCTTGCGAAACCCAGAACTGACATGTCGAGCCTTTCCCCTCAAGATGGCCCCACAAGCTTCCCAAAGGCCCCCAAGGCGCCCGCAGCAGTCCCCAAGAGGCCTCCAAGATGTCCCCCAGAAGCCCCGAAGAAGCCCCGAAGTAGCATCAAAAAGACTCCCGAAAGCCCCCAAACAGCCCCGTGACAGACCTCATCCTCGTCCTGCCACTCATGATATTATCCTCGTCCTCCTCCTCTTCCCCCTCATCCTCCCCACGTGCCGCTCGCGTGCTGCTGGCTACGTCAACATGGCCTGGCGCACGGAGCGCAGGCCCTGCAAGGCGGCGAGGCCGCCGCGCGGCGCGGGCACGATCGGCGAGGCCATCGACAAGGCCAAGGCGAAGGCCAAGGCCAAGGGGAAGGGGAAGGTCGTAGCGAAGCGCGTGCGCTTCGCCTCGGATGTGCCTGGCCCTGCCGCCGCCGCGGCCACGCCGGCGCCGCGGGCGCAGGGCGCGGCCAAGCGGGTGGCTGAGGAGCGGCCCAGCGGCAGCGGCTGCAAGGACGAGGAGGTCCGCCAGGCCCCCCTCCGCCACTTTGGCCCCAGGGAAGGCTGGTCGGCGGCCCTGGTCCAGGACTTCGGGGCCTTGGTGCCTGTGGTGGACGCGCCGCCGCCAGCGAAGCCCTTGGCCGAGCTGTCGCTCCAGGCCCTCCTGGCCAGGGAGGCGAAGATCAAGGGCCAGGTCAGCCGTGCGGAGGCTGCGCTGGCGGCGGTCCAGGAGGAGCAGGCGGCCGTCGCGGTCCGCGTGGCGGAGCAGGCTGACGTCCTCCAGAAGCGGTGCGACCAGCTGGAGGAGGTGGCCGAGGCCGTGCGCGCCAGGAAGCGCGCCGACCTGGAGCAGCACACGGGGCCGTCGCCCATGGAGGTGGGCGAGCCTGTGGAGGCCGAGGACTGCCTGGGCAAGGTGCTGCTCAAGGGCCTCGAGGGCCTCGAGGCGGAGCGGGAGCGGGTTCTCTTGCTCGGGGAGGAGGGCGGCGCCCTGCTCGCGACGGCCGCCGAGGCCCGCAGCCTCGTGGAGAAGCTCGCCGCCGCCGACGCCCGTGCTCGCGAGGCAGCGGCGGCCGAGCGGGCCCGCGCGGCTGCAGCCGCAGCTGGGCGGGCCGCCGCAGCGCAGGAGGCCGCCCCCGCGGCTGATGGCAGTGTTGATGGCGCTGATGGTCCCCCTGGGGACCGCAAGCGCGTCGGCGACCTCGACCTCGGCCCCGAGCTCGTCGGGCTCGACGCCGTGTTCGACGAGGTGGGCATGGAGGACGAGCAGCAGCGCGCAGCCTGGCGCGCAGCGCTGGCCAAGCGCCAGCGGGTGGCAGGCCCCGCCTCTGGGTAGCCGCCCGCTGGCGGCGGACGTGGCGGAGCTGGCGTCGGCCAACACCACCGCGTGGGGCTCGGCGCAGTCGCTGGTCGAGTGGCTGCACGACGACGAGGGGCGGCTGCCTGCGGTGCTCTGCCTCCAGGAGCATCGCCTCAAGGGCAAGCAGGCGGTGGCCCGCGCTGCGGGCTGGATGCAGGCGCGCGGCTTCAGCTGGCATGGCCAGGCAGCGATGCCGACGGGCCCAGGGCCGCTGGAGAGCTCGGGAGGAGTGGCAGTGGCCACGCTGCGGCCGTCGACGGCCGCCGCCGCGCCAGGGCTCCCTGCCCATCGGTTCCAGGTGTGCGAGGTGAACCTGGGGTTCAGGGAGCCGTGCCGCGTCATCTCGGCCTACTTCATCACGAAGATAGGCAGGGCGAAGGAGAACATCGGGCTCCCGGCGGCGCTGCACGAGTTCGTGGGGCAGCTGGAGTCGCCGTGGGTCGTGATGGGTGACTGGAACATGGAGCCCGTGGACGTCCGTGAGCGGGCGCACAGCGCAGGCGGTGCGCTTGTCACCCCAGAGGAGCCGACCTGCGGCTCGAAGGTCTTCGACTTCGCGGTCGTCAGCAAGGTCCTCACGGGCTTTGTGGACGCGGCTGAGGTGCTGCTGAGGGCGCCGACGAAGGACCACGTGCCATTCAAGGTGGTGCTTCGCGGCGTAGGGCCAGCGGCGAAGGTGCAGCGCCGCTCTCCCCTGCCGCCTTCCCTCTGCCGCTGCCGCCGCCAGCGCGGCCAGCGCCGCTCGAGCGCGCCTTCTCGGCCTGGAGCCCAGGAGGAGGGCAGTCGCTCAAGGTTGGCTGCCAGGAGTGGTTCGAGGCGGCGGAGGCCTACCTGATCGACCTCCACGAGATCGCGCCGCCCAGCCGCTGGAAAGGGCGCGCGGGCGGGCTGCGCACGCAGAGGGTCGAGATGGAGGTGGCCTGGAAGCAGGACCGCAAGAGGAGCGTCGGCGCTGCCTGCAGGCGCTGGATGTCGTTCGCGGCGGCATGCGCCCGCTGGCGCGCGCTGCAGGAGGCGGCGCCAGGAGGTCGCTGCTGGGCGCCGCTGCGCAAGCAGCGCGAGGTGCTGAAGGCGTTCGAGCTCGAGTGGCCTGAGGAAGGCCCGCTGGCTGGGCTGTCGGTGGCCCGCGTGGTGGGCTTGCTCAGCTCCTCATCGTGCCAGCCGACGGTGCAGTTCGTCCAGGAGGAGGCGAGGCGGCGCTGGAGGCTGGACAAGCAGCGGAAGGCCGCGGAGTGGCGCGCCTGGGCCCAGGCCGCGGCCACCGAGAAGGGCGGCTCGGCGGCCTACCGCTTCATCAAGCAGGTCGCGGTGGTGCCCACGGTGGTGCTCGCGGGCGCGGACGGTGACGACGACCCGCGCATGCCCGTTGCGGGCGAGGCCGCAGTGGCTGCGCTGCTGGAGGCGTGGCGGCCGCTCTGGGTCAAGCCGTCGCGCGCAGGCGAGGCGGCGCCCGAGGACTGGGACATCCAGGAGTCGGTGCTGCCGCCGCTGGAGCTCGAGGACCTCGAGCGGGCCCTGGGCACCGGCCTTGGGTGGGATAGGCTCCACCCGAAGCAGCTGCTGCGCCCCCCGCGGACCTACAGGCAGCGCTTCCTGGAGCTCCTCATGGCCTGGGAGCGGAAGCCTTCGCGGGAGGCGCTGTGGCAGCTGATCGTGGTGTTCATCCCCAAGGCTGCTGGCGGCCAGCGGCCGATCGGCCTCACGGCCATCTGGCTGCTGAGGGTCTGGAGCAGGATGCGGCAGCCGCTGGTGGCCCGCTGGGAGGCCTCGTTGAAGAACCCTGCCTTCTGAGGCACGTCGGAGAGCCCGTGCGAGCGCGCGGGGGTGGTGCACAACCTCCTGGCGGCCGTTGCTCGCAGCAGAGGCCTCTCGGCGGCCACGGGCGTCACCGACCTGGCGAAGTTCTACGAGCACGTCAGCCATGAGGAGCTGCGCGTGCAGGCGGCCGCCACGGAGTTCCCGCTCGCGCTGCTGCAGTGCTACTGCGTGTCGTACCGCACGCAGCGCCGCGTGTCCTGGTGCGGCTCGGTCTCCAAGCCGTTCGAAGCGAACGGCACCATTGTGGCGGGCTGCAGCGGTGCGGTCGGGCTGGCCAAGCTGCTGGTGCACACCCTCTTCGTGAAGATTGTGCGTGAGAACCCTGTGGTTCGCCTGCAGAACGTCGTCGACGACGTGCTGCTGCAGGCGGTCGGCGGCAGGGCTCAGGTGGTGCAGCAGCTCCCCAGGGCCATGGCGGCCCTCACAGAGGGCCTGGTCGCCAAAGGGGTGGTCATCTCGGAGGCGAAGACGGGCTACCTGGCGAACAGCGAGGACCTCGGCGACGCGCTGGACGGCTGCTGGGCGCATGGGCCGCTGGCCCGCTGGACTGGCGCCCGCTGCCTCGGAGGCGACGCCGCCGATGGGCGCTGGAGGCGCGCGCGCGCGAGCAGGACGCTCGGCTCGGCCGCGCGGCGGAGGTCAGCGCGCGGGCGCGCCTGCTGCGCAGTGCAGGTGCGCAGGTGGGCCACATCCAGAGAGGCAGCCCCACGGCCACCGCCGTCTGGGGCTCCGCGGCGACGGGCCTCGCCTGCGGGAAGCTGCACGGCCTGCGGGTCGCCGCCATGCGTGCGGGAGGCAGGCTGCCCATGGGCGCCGGCGTCGGCCTGCGGCTGCGGGCGATGCACGGCGCTGCCTACCGCGACCCCTTCGTGGTGCACGCGGTGGAGGTGGCGCGCTCCTGGGGCATGACGCTGGAGACGGGCCTGCCCAGCGCGGCGGTGGTGCAGGAGTGCTGGCTCGGGGCGCAAGGCTTGCTCGACCTTCGCCGCCCCTGGGGGCAGCGCCGCGACCATGCGCAGGCATGTGTGCTGGCGTTGCGGCGGGTCGGCATCGAGATGGTGGCCTACAATGCCGTCATCGACTGGCAGGCGCGCGTCCTCTCGCTGGAGTTCTACTCGCCTGGCATGCCGGTGCAGGTGGCGCGTGAGTCGGCGATGCTGGCCTCGGACGTGCTCGCGCTGAAGCGGCTGCGCGGGCCTGGCGCCTGGGCATGGCCTGTGCACTGGAAGGGGCTGGAGCGCCTCCTCCACGCGCGCCGCCGCCCCGAGGGGCAGGCGGACGCCGAGGCCGCCGATGGCGCAGGCCGCCAGGTGCCCGCGCCGCCGCTGCCGCACTGGCAGGCCCGCCACAGGCGAGCTCTCGCGGCGGTCCTCGGCGGCTCCCACTGGCCGCAGGAGCGCCTCTGGAAGGAGGGCAAGGCGCGCGACGTCCTCCGCCGCCTCTGCGGTGGCCGAGGCACGCTGTGGCACAGGGCCTTCGAGTGCGAGGCCTGGCAGACGCTGCGGCGGGACGCGCGCTCGCCTGAGCTGCTGGAGGGGGCGCGGCTGGTGGCGCAGCGCGGGGACGCTGCGGCGGAGCTCTTCGCGCGTGCGCTGTGCCCCGACCCCGCCCTGGCCTTCCCCGCGGCGGCCGACGCCGCGCTCGCGGCCCCGCGCTGGTTCGGCGTGCCGCCTGGCTCGAAGTTCGCGCGCAGGGTCTTCGTGGACGGCAGCGCCAGGTTTCCTGCGCTGCTTGGGGCCCGCCGCGCAGGCTGGGCGGTGGTGCAGATCGGCCTCAGCGAGGAGGTCATCGGCGGGATGCACGGCATCGTCCCGCGGGCGTACGGGCCCAAGCAGGAGGCCAGGGACGGCGAGGACTACGCGTTCCACATGCTGGCCCAGTTCTGGCTGCCGTCGGCCGACGGCTCGGGCCTTGAGATCTTCTGCGACTGCGAGGGCACGGTCGGCTTGGCGCTCTCGCAGGGCAAGGCCCTCGCGCCGCTGCCGCCACCTGTGGCAGGAGTGGTGGGCGGGGCCAGGCCCGTCGGCCACGGTGCGCAAGGTCAAGGCGCACAAGGTGCTCGCTGCAGCTGCCTCCTGGGAGGATGAGCTCCTGATCAGGGGCAACA